TCTTAATGGACTTCATCTTAGCAGTTCCAGTGGTGTGTCCTTATCAGACCCACTCAAACCAGAGACGACAGCAGTTCCAAGGGTCTCGATCTGATGTATTTTCCTACAGTGTTATTTTACATATTTTGATTTTACTTTGCATTAAAATGCAGTACAAAATCTATCAAACTAATGCATCATTTTACAACAAAATCAGAAGAGTTATTTATCCAATATCTGAATATTGTTTATGCAAATTCAGAAGCTAGATTGTTTGCAGTAGTTATGACAACATCCAGCAGAAGAAACACTTTTTTTGTTGTTGTTGGTAAGCAAATTAAAAGTTCCTTCTGTGCACAAAAAAGACCCGAAAGCACATTTTGATATAATTTGTTTGGACTGAAGAGACAGTTTACCCTCTACTACTTGCAGGAAGACTCTAACTCAACAAACCTGTTTGCATGTGGTATTTCTCAATCGACAAACGGCGTGTAACTCTGACTTCAAAAACACTTAGTTCATCTAGTCTCCTAATAATACCTGCCAAGTTGATTACTATTCAGCTCATCATCCCCAGTCATTCAATTATTTTATAATACAACATGCCTCGAGAAGCTTAACAAGCTGCCCTATCTTCTCTCTTCAATCTTGACCCCATCAAAAACAAAAATAGAGAAACCAAAAACCCCAGGTCAGCCGAGTTATTGACAGGTTTGGAAGAGATAATGCACATAGACAAAGGAGGATAAACATAAAGGCACAGCCATATCTACAGCCATTCTCTCTTTTGAGTCCTGCCTTGTTCACATTAATGATTGATAGCTCTGCTAATTTCATGGCACATTGCTGTGCAGTTACTTGGCACATTACCAACATCAACATCAACAGCAACCCAACAGCATATAATGAAGTTGGCACGGGATATTACTCCACAACACAGAGGACAGTTTACTATCATCAAGATCATCTTTGTCTTGAAACTTTTAACACAAGAAGAAGAAAGAAAAAAGGCTGCCAGTCGTAAAAATGATACAACTCTGTTGTGTTTTCTTATGTGAGTATTTGAAGGTTACACTGAAAACAGCAGTAGATTATTCATTTATGATTCAATACAGAGATGAGTTCCATTCAGATTGTATTCAAAGGGTCAAAATGATATACACATCAAAGAAAATAACACATTGATGAGACAACTGTATTTAAGATTAGACAATCCTATCTTAGGCAAAATGTTCAATGTAGGAACAAATGCCCAAGCAACACAAATCCTTTTGGCAAATCAGAATTGGGTCCATCATCCTAAAAAAAATGGCTCTGAGTCACTCTAACAAAAAAAAAATAGATGAGTCATTACAGGAATCTGAATGTGGTCGAAAATAGCTGAGAAGGGTGTATTGGACGTGTTGAGATCGAAAATCCGACCTGAAAAACTGAAAATTATTTTGGTTATAGCATGTATGATAAGGATGCAAGAAAGATTTGTTAAAAAATGTTTACAGTTCTGGTGAAAAATGTAGTTTCAATTGAAAAAGCAAGAACCAAATATTTTAATAACTAAAAAAACAAAAACAAAAGAGGGGTGTAACAATTAAGAAAGTGCATGATTATTGGAATACTTTTCACGTAGCACTTACCACCTAACATCAAGATAAACTAATGCTCAGTATTAGGTGTCAATCTAGTTCAGTTTCATTTTCTACTTCTTGTACTTCTTGTATACTTTACTTAACCTGTCTTTTTATCAGGCATCAGCTTGATGACTGGGGTTGAGTTCATCAGTCTGTATACCAATTAACCTGTTCTAGAAATTTCCATGATGCACAGCATCAAGACTTGGTGAGATATTAGCGCATTAATAAACAACCGATTCTAACATTATGGGCAAAAATGTAGCTCCCACAAGGTTTCCTTGGTCTGCAAGCGCAGCATGATTTGTGCCTGTAATAAAAGCCATCTTTACTTTAGACTCCCACACTAATTAGGGAGCATGTACATAAATCAAAGGCGTATCAATTATCCAGATACCCGGATACTTAAGTAAAGAAAACCTGGTAATATACCCTCCATCAGAGGTGTAAATTTTAAGCTACGACCAGAACAATAAGATGATGTCACAGCAGAATTTGTAATAATATTTACAATCTCCAGGCAGCAGTCCAAATGAGTAATTATGATGTCACCACAATAAACAACCAACTGTCAACATCCTGTCTATATAATGCAGTATTTGTGTCCCCATTGACTGCATTTCTCCTCGAGACTGAAACAAGACGACTGCGTAGGTGCACGGTTATAGTATATGAACACTTGACTCAGCATAATGAAATAATCAGGTCAGGAATAATTTGATTCATTCTCCGCTCCATTAAAATAAATTACAGCTTTGAGTTTACTATGATGGATCACCAAGGTCAGAGCACTTTATATCTGATATCTGTCAGGCTGCAGACTGTAAATTGTAGTGAGCAGACTGTACCGTCACTCTTTATACTTGCAGAAATAATGCACAGAAAAAAAGGTCAGTGTATGGATGAGTGGCAGTGAACAGAAACATCAGTATTATCCATCAATACTCCCAGTCATAAATAATATGGGAGTTTGACATTTGGCAATATTTAACTGTCTCCTCGCTGAACATGTGCATTAATCTTCATCATGGTGCACAGGTGTCCTCTCACTGAACCCAACAGCACGCTTGACTTGAACAAGGCAGCAGTCACAGAAATACACACTCTTCAACTGCAACAGCCCAGACACAACACACTGAGAAACTCTGTTGTGTTTGCATCAGATTTGTCAGTGAGAGAGAAAACGAAGCCACTGTCATACTGTGAACAATTACATTATTCCTAGTGTTTCTGTAAAAACTCATCAGGCAGACACTTTGATCATGTCTAAGTCATGTTTATTTCTTTTAAACATTAAGCAAGTTATTGTTTATAGCCAGTGCATTCATACAAGTAGACAGCAGGGATCATTCACCATGATGCATGATGAAAAAGGATAACAAAACCAGCCTTTTCACGTCGTAGATAAAACAGAAAGGTCTAGAACGAACCTGGTTCCACTCCCAATCATGGTTTTCTCTGTGAACCAGCAGGTTTGCAGCACTGAAGCAAAATCAAAGTTTCTGCTCTTTGAGCTGCACCAGCTGACTTAATCAGATCTATGAGAACTTTGAGTGGTTTGTAGCATTGGAATTGAAAAGTTCTGAATGAGGCAGAAGGATAACTGAGCAAAGTGCTTAGGCCTGACCAGGAAACAAAGTACTTAAAACAGTGTTTAATAATCAAATTAATCTAAATCCAATTATCTAATTGGTAAAATAAAGTGCTGAGTGTCTAATAACCAAGACCAACATAAACACAAAGTAGCATCAGACATTTTTAGCATTGTCATAATTGTCACTTTCACCAAGGGGTGTAAGGTTTTTTTTTAAGAACACTGAAGAACATAGATTACACTGTTCTGTTGATGCAGGTTGAACGAGGAAGCAAATACATCCCAGCAGTGATCTCTAAACTCCATGACAGTAATTAAATAAAAACCTAATAACATAACTATATTTCCAAAATACATTTTTTCTATGAGCCATCTGTGGGTCACGTGAGAGACATGGCTGATATGATACTGTGGTGTGTGTCTCTGTATTTTGGCCTTGTGATGAACTGACAACCCGACCATTAACCTGACATTACCTGGGATTGGCTGCTGCTCCCACTGTGGCCTTAAACAAGCTCAGCAGTAGAAGATTAATGCCTGAATGCAGTATTGGAGAAGGTGTGTCAACAGATAAGTGGCACTAAAAGGTAACAGATGACTTAGAAAGATAACTATTTATCATGCGACAGGGTCAAGTCTGGGACATCATCCATATGAACAATGCTTGACTTAGTTTAACCTTTATCTTGCCTGAAGTGAAATGTGTAGAAAAATTCTTAAAGATATTCCTGAGTTGTTTTAATGAGTCCCAAGGAGTAAACGGTGCTGGATCACCAGGGACAGGGAAACTCAAACAAAAAAGTGAAGCCATCAGCAGCTATATCAGGTTCTGATGGTTCAGAACCATCAGAACGTATGGTTTTTGGACTGCAACTGTTCAGTGGACCTCATGTCTTATCCTGCACTACAATCAACAGTGCTTATATATACATATTTATTTTATACATTCCACCAATACAATTTGCACTGCTTATCTATAAATGTATACATATCTTTTTTGCAATTTATCATACAGTAGCTTTTTGGTTGTGCTTCTTCTTATTATTTCACTGTAATTTCTGTCTATCTGTTTTAAACACTGAAAGTAAACTTTAGTGGACGAGCAGCACTCATGCAGTAGGAGGAAATGTATACACACATGCACACAGTGCCAGCCCTGTCCCAGATGTGACTCCACAGTGGCACAACTTCATCATCACATGCTGCGCCCTTTTCTCATTTGCATAAAAAGTTATGTTGCCAGAGGCGCTGGGTGGTGGTGATGATGATGATGATGATGATGGCTACTGTGTATGCGTTCTAATCTGGCTCTTCTGCTAGCTTCTCCATCATATCATACTGGCCAGGACAGCTAACGATACAGCGGCCGGACTAATAAACATCCATCTGCCTCTGCTTGTAGTGATGAATGTTGTGGCTCAGTGGAGGTCACGGTCAGTCAGCGGCAGCAGGGACTCAGGCAGAGCGGACCCCTGCGCTCTGGACCCCGGCGGGATGATTGATGGCAGCCGGGTGCCTCAGCATTCCTCCCTCTCTGCCTGCTTGTCTGTCTGCCTGAGGCTAACTTAGCCGTGTTAGCTTAGCTGCTGTCTGGCGCAGCTTGGAAAGAGGCTCCAACTCTGAACTTCCATCATCAGTCTCCCTCGCTGTCAGACCTCACACGGGACAGTCTGGATAGCGTTTAGCCACAGCAGCTAACACAAGCAAAACATTCCTGCAGACGCCTGACATGAAATTGCATGTATATATATATAAACACCAGTGCATAAAATTAAAGAAAGAATGACGTAACTTCCTACCTGTAAACGCAGTCGCTAACGTGTTAAACTGCAGCGACTGCTTGTTAGAGTGCTTGATGATGTTGTGTCGCTAGACGTCAAGTCCAACTGCACTACAGCGGTTTTCAGTGTGGGATCAAAACAGAGCTCAGCTGCTCCACTGTAGACTCCACTACTACACACGCTGCTCCGCTGACAGCTATATACACACGAGCTTCTAGCGACATCTGCTGGTCACAGCCGTAAGAGCAGCCAGTGGCATTTTTAGCAATAACGTAATATTGTACTCACTGTAAAGTTGCTTATTTATTCAGTGAGAATTATTCCAGTTTAAAATATTTGTATTACCTTTAAACAACATCGCAATATATTTCTAAAAACAGTAACCTGGCATTAATAGATTGCAATTCTTTTACCTTGGTCAATCATTTATTGATGTTAGGCTCAAAATAAATAGGTTTAATTGTGTCCAAGCAAAAAATAATAATTTAACTCATGTTAGATAACCAACTACAGTGGTAACTGTATTACAGTACTTATTAACTGACCTACACTCTCCATCAGTCAGAGAAGTAAGTAGAATATCTGCCTCCTTCCATTGTTTTCACTTTCACTCATCATGCACAAATCCTTTTGTACTTGACCATGTTACTGTCCCAAATCAATTTTTAAAAACAAGCATGCATAAGAAAACAAGATAACGTTTTGTATATGGTGAGACCAAACAGCAGCTCTGACCACCTCCCTGTCTTTGCTGAGCAGCAAAGACAGAAATGAAATTCTGATGACACTGTGATGAAGGTTATGCACCTGCAAAATCATCCATCATGCAAGGTTTAGCACAAAGACAAAGAAAGCCTCAAGGCTCCCTGTGTCTTTGCAGTAGTTTAAAGACCTTTAGCATAATTGTCATGGTCGTGTTTAACCTTTTTAAAATACAGACACGGGCAATAAAGGTTCAGGTGCTGGAGTGGCATCTCGGAGGACGGACAACTGTGTCCTGACTACAGCAAAGTAAATGTTTAAAACTTTTTAAATATTTATTTTTAAAACCTACCTATGGTGGGGGGGTTTTCTCATGTAGGACAGCACCTGACCTCACATGGCCAATGCTTATAGGCAATGTATCAAAACCAGGCTAACATTCATGGGACATTTTGTACTGGTGACACTTTTAACATCACCGAGCTGTGTTTTCAGAGATGACTGGACCCAAGCACACAGAAGCATACTTAGACACAATTGTAACTTACCCAGACAAAAATAAATGTACATTATCAATTTCAGTAATAAAAACTATAATTATTATATTATATTCTTTGCATTTAAACTTAAACAACCCCTCTGCCAAAAAACAAAGACAAAATACATAATTTTACTAAAACAGTAAACAATGCAATTTATTAGAAATTTTATTTAAATGTGTACATATATTACATAATATACTATTTAAACATGTGCAAATTGTAAATCAAACTTGTTAACGCAGTCAGTGGACGTATAGTTGGTCTTCATATCAAAACCTAGCAAACATGTGAACGTCTCTCCATACTAGTGTTATCTACTTCAAGAAGGCTGTTGACGGTTAAAAAAAAACAAAAAAAACCACAACATCTTCGATGGTAAATAGAAACAATTTCTTCATTCAGCCACAGAAAAAAAACAGATTCAAACCCCACCCTTCCTGTGCAATTTATCCATTTGCCCTAGAGCCAAGAGGAAAATTTAGTTGTTTTTTTCCTTCATGACAAACTGTAATCAACAGTGTTTCAGAACAGCTGCAGAGAAGACAAATCAAAAAGTCTAGAGGGAAGTTTCAAGCAAATTATCATCACTGACCAGCCAAACAATAAGATGTCAATAGGGCACAAGTGTTAGAGACTGGGAAGTGAACAAGTGATCAGGTGCAGGTGAGATCAGAAATGACCAGAAACAACCTCAACATAGGACGGAGAAAAACGAATGAAATATTAGCAGACCCAGTTTAGGTACAGAAGAAAAGAGTTTTCAGCAGGTGTTGTTTTCACTTTAGTTGCTGAACACTTTCAGATTCCAGCTCTGTCTAACATTGCGTAAAATGGACTCAAAACATGTCTTTTTCAAAACCAAAATGACTGCAGCCATGTAGTCAACCAAGAGACAAAGGCCTTCCAGAGGGACTGACTCCAGGTAATCCTCAGCATCTCCTGACTGCTGCTGCCACTGTCTGACAGGCCATAGCAACAACAGCGCTCCCATGTGACACAACTCAGGCAGAAGACAAAGTCAAGTGGCAAAAATAAGTCTGTGAAACGCCAGAGGCAGGCGGACTAATTATGGGCCGGTGAGACCTATTATTCAGTTCTTTCCTGGCACACATGGGGACACTTGTTTTCCACAGGGCACCTGAAGGCACATGTGCCTTCTCCAGAAAGGCAGATGCTGGCTGCAGATGCTGGCTGCAGATCCCTCTGTCAAATCCAGTTAATCACCTTCAATCCACATTTACAAAAATGAAAAAACAACAGTCCATTTAATCTTCTGCAGCATTTTAGCACCTTTTTTTCAATTTGTCCTCTGCAGTTTTAATAAAGAGACAATGCAGCAGCCTTCACCCAACGACAGTCAGTCAGCAGTGGGAGGCAGTTGGTGTAGGATGGAAGCTGGAGAGTTCAGGGCACTGCCTCACCAGTCAGCTGGATAACAAGATTTCCACTTGTTTCTGACTGGATGAGCAGTAAACCTCCGTGTCTGCCTGCAGTGCTGGGCTTGAACTGGACAGGGAGCTTCAGATAGTGCTGTGATCTGATGGGGGGTACAGGACAATTAGCTTGTAAATACATAAATAATAAACATACATAAATAATCAATCAGGATTACAATATATGGATGAGATATTCATAGAAGCACACAAGTATGACAAAAAAAAATAGTGACAACAACATGTGTTGAGCATGCTTTGATCAAAATAGGATTTAAAAAAAAAAACAAAAAAAACACACAATCAGAGGGAGGAAGACCACAACAACTGTGGAGCACGGCCAAGCCACTACTAAACCCACAAAAGTAAATTGGCAGTCCTTGGCAGAATTAATTGTAACATTTCTCTTTGCTACCTGTTAAGTCAGTATGTATTTGTTTATCAAATACATCTTTTTTTTTTTAACTTCCTGCTGGTCTTCAGCTAAAAGCCCTAACAGCATTGAGACATTGCTACCTAACCACAGGAGAGATAACAAAAATAACTCTAAGCAGTATTGGTAAAGCAGTCATATGTGCAAGTGTTTTCACTAGTATTAATTTTGATTTGGCTACTTCATCCCCCTCCCACCAAAATAAACTAAAAATAAAATCATGTTCTATTCTTCACAAACACACGTCCTCATCAGCATCAGTACAGAACAGTTAAAGGCTGGGACAATATCATTACAAAAAAAGTGAACAAACCAGAATCTGCTCCTTTTTTTGCTAAAATTTAAAAGAAAAATCATAATATTGTCCCTTTTCCACAGGAATGCAGGCACTGCTGAAATTGTGTCACTTTCATAAGCCTGTCATCCTGGAGGCTACAAGTGTACCGTAAGTACTGCAGGAGCTTCATCCACCAGGACCCAACATCTCACAAGACCTCCCACAGTGAGCAGGCAGGAGGGGGAAATGTCAATAAACAAGCAACGTTACATCCAGGCACATTTTGGATAAATATCACACACAGCTACTGACTGTTAAAAAAAGGAAAATTACTGGAAGCAAAACAAGTAGAGAGCACTGACAAAAATACACAGAGCTCGCTGCAAATGACAAAGATCATTAAACATTTTCTAACACGTGTGATTTCCCTGCCACTCGAATAATGTGCAGAATGAAATGTGTGTGTGTAAAGTATAATAACCACTGGACTTACCTCAGGGAATATTTGGAATGCTTGATGTAGAAGGGCTCCTTAGTGTTTACAAATTTCAGCTGCAAGTCAATTAGAGAAGCCAGAACAAACTCACATCAAACTCATGCACAGTACAGAGTTAGCCGTTAGTGCTGGTTAAATGTTTCTCAGACAGGAAGAAATCAGGAAAATTAGGATAAAACTACATGTATAAAGTACTAGCATTTGTACTGCTAAAATACCCTAATGTCTGCAACAGATAACAAAAGAAAGAGTACATAAACACAATCAACAGTACACTAAAATACAGCTTCCTGCAGTACTGAAGCTAGGCATGTACTACAAGAATGTCAGGATGAATACTGACAAGTCATTCAGCCCCTTAAACTAAAAGACAAATATGGCAAGGAAGCCTATACTGGTACCAATATTTTAGCAGTAAGACTTACAAGAGTAAAAGGCTTCATAAAGAAGGTAATTCCATCTTTGGATGAAAGTGTAAAACATCAAGCTGATGTCATTTTTGTGGTTAGTTGGGTGCTTTGGAGATTGATCCTCTAATCCTTGCCAAAAATATCAAATTTACATTTTGTCAGGACTAACTGAGTAATTTGGTTTTCCCTCACCTCGTGCATGTTGGCCGAGTTGTTGCGGATGCTGACCTTCAGGCTGCTGGACTCTCCCACTCGTGTGGTAGGGAAGGTGTAGAGCTCCTGAGGAGCATACACACCCCTCCACGCCGCCTCCTCCTGGCTGAGGAGTAAAAGATGCAAAAAGTTGAGCATTTGAGCTTAAGTAATGTATCAGACAGGCTAAACTTGTTTTTTCTATGTTCGATTCTGAATTTCTGACCAATATCAGACCGATGTCAATCCCAAGCATCGCCAGTTCTTAGTACAATCAAAGTTATTCAGTACCTATTCTGTCATCTTCCATGGTTGTTACGTACCACCTGGAACCTAGTGAAGATTAGCTCAATCAATAATTTGGTCAACTCTCCTGTGTTTTACCTGGCTTTGCCTGCAGATGCATCAGCTTTCTTTCTGGTCTTGACCGTGGGCTCAGTTTTTATGAGTGTGTTGTCTCTTTGCTGTGGTCCTTCCACTGGTCCACTTTTTGATCCCTATAATAAACATAGACAATGTTAACATAATGCCAAGAAGGAGCAAAAGACTTCCATAGCTGTCCTCTACCCCAACTACTGCCATTTGAAAAGTACATTAAAGAAATACCTTGATCACTAATAAACTAGAATCTTAAATGACCTAACAGACTAGACTGATCATACACTCACTTTCACAGCAGATGGAAATGTTTTTCCAACTCTAGTCATAGACAAGCATTTGAAGGATTTAACGCAGCATTTTAAAAGTAGGGAAACAAAGGCACTAACCCACTTGAGTGTCTATCTGACAGTCCACTCACAGTGTCTGCTCTTAGGCTAACTGGCTCTGTCACAACACTTGAGATTAAAGAGGCAGAATGGTGAAGCCCACAGGCCCATCTCAGCAGGGTGGCTCCTCTCCCAAACCACACTACCCACTTTCCTCATTTGTTAATTCTGCCACTGGTACAACACCAAGCTAGAGGAACTGGGCCTGTTGGTGTATTAACACTACATATGTTATCATTCTTGATAGTGTTTTTTTTCTAGTAAAGATGTGTTCTATAGGAAAACAAGTTCATTTGTCTCAGAAAACCATTAATATATTTTAGTCTGACAAAACCTTTAAAGTATAATTTAATCTTGTTTAGAATCAGGGTATTTTCAGATTTTCTGCGTTTTCTTACGGCTGTGACTGAGATCTGATAAAGAAGAGTAAACAAGTGAAAGCAAATCTTATTTTAAACAAACTTAAAAAATGTTGTGACTTAATTAGGGTAGCAATTGTGATTCCAACATTATAATAATCAGGATGTAGTTTGACTAATTGTATCTGAATTGTTTCAAAAGCCCACACTTAGATAAGTGTTTGTGTTGAGCAAAACACAACCGCCAAAATAGGAACATCTATGTGACTTTGTGACTACATTTTTTTTACTATTCTTACAGTGCCACAAAGTTGAAAGCGGATTCTGCTTTTCTGCTGAGGCTCAGACACTGGATGGCACTCCAAGTCCCAGAACTGGGCATAATCTCCTCTGTCTCTGGGCAGAAATGTTATAGGCACCTAAAAGAGAGCAGGACAAGTTTATAAGATAAGATTGGTAGCTGTTTTCCAAGAACCAGTTCTTGTTGATGAGCAAGTCAGAGTAGTGGGAAATCATTTTTCAAATTAAAAAAAAGTATTTTCACATTTTTTGAGCAAATCAAATGCTTAAATTTGAGTTTTACTGACTTGTTCCTTATACAGTATTTTGTGATAATAAGAGGTAGATGTGATGATGTACCTGCATCTTCTCATGGGCCCCCAGAATTCCTGAGACCCTGGAACATCTAAAAGCAGTGTAGGTTGCTCTGTACACATCTTCAGTGTTGTCAACCCCCTGAAGAAACAAAAGGAGGAAAAGCAAGGCATGAATCAGTGTCCTGAGAAAATGGTCAGAGAAACAGTTATAAGAACATATCAAAAACAAGTCTTCCTGTTTATTTTTTAAAAGTTAGGTATAAAACACAAAACACTTTTACAAAAGATGCACCAAAAAAGGTAAAAAACAAACAAACAACTGTTCTCAGAAAGACACACTCAACAACAAAGTGTGTTAACAAAGGAATCAAAGAGAAGCAAAGAGTTGTCAGAAGAAAGATCACCTTGACATACGGTGGGGCGAATGATGACAGGTACCACCTCACTTCTACTTCTTTATTCTGCACCTCCAGCTGGGCCTCTGAAGTAAAGCAGCAACAGACACATTCAGTTCCTCACATGTAACCTTCACACAAAGTCTACAATCCACATGATGCAACAGCAGACTTCCCAACTGCAACGAACCTTGATATTAACTTAGGCTAATTAAGTAGCTTTCTCTGTCTGGCCAGTCAGACACTTCCCTACCTGATGTTTCCCCTGAAGGAGTAGTTGGGAAGAGGATCGTCTTGTTGCTGATCTCCACCAATGCCTGAGGAGCCGCTGGAGTCTGTGGGCTCTGAAGGGGCAGAGACGGTTTGTTGTTGAGCCTGACCACAGGCAGCACAGGGGTGGCAGCAAGAGGGGGCAGGGCCGACAGAGAGCCATCTGCTGGAGCTGTGGACACATCCAGCGCCAAGTCCTGACGGATCTGGACCTTAATGAACTGAACCAGTGGTTACACTTATTAACATGCAGCTCATTGCATAACATAACAATAGAGCGCAGCAATAGTTAAAAGATTCGCTGTGTTTGTCTGATGTGTTCTATACCTTCTGTTGGCCATCACACTGGACATACACCTGTCCACTCCAAGGCAGCAGAGCAGGTTTAGTCGCTAGTGATGGGTTGGGACTGACGAGAATCTGTAGATGACACCTTGGACGAAAAAAAAAAAAAAGTTAAACTCAAGTTATAAAATCATTTACAATATTCTCTGTAAAAAGGTAATTTGCAACACAATGGTGACATAGTACAAAGACACTTAAGACACTCATCTCATTTTCCGCCAGCAAGTTTAATGGAACTTTTGGCTCGGCTCCCACATTTATTAAAACTGGTTTCCTCATGTCTGTTTATATTAGCCCTGAAAACTACTGCAGTGTTGTGCACATAAGAAAAAAAAAAGCACTAAATTACTGACTTACAGCTGCAACCAGTTACGAGGTGAACTAAAAAAAAAGTACTCAAATACTGCACCACATGCTAGGTGGTCTTATGTTTTTTATAAATTTTATACATTTATTCACAATTATATTTTCAGCTCATTAAACTAACATCTCAAAGGCTGATTCCATGCAGTTTTGGGGTTGTAAAAATACAGGCTGCAATTTCCCACCATGTTCCAGAAATGGCTACAAATAAAAACCAATAATGAAAACTGAAGACAAAGAACTTGAGTTTTGAGACGTCAAGAAGTTAATATATTCCATTTTAGCTCTTTCAGACTGAAATACAGTGCAGAGTTCCACAGAGTTGTTATGGTTAATATGGAGTGAGAATTGTTGCATGGTTGTCGCCTGAGTCATCACAGTTGTATTGATCTGACGGTTAAAAAGAAATAATGATCGAAGCTGACAAAGATTTTCTTTGTTTGACTTCAACACCAGTGTTTACTGTGTTCTTACTGCGGCTCAATAACCCCATGCTGAGGGGTGATGGTGAGGCAGTGGGCTGGCCAGGACAAATCAAAGCTGAGCACTCTGGACGTGTTGTTACGAATCTGAATCTGACTGGTGGTGGTTGCACCATCTGAAAAACAAAAACCATCATCAAAATGTTGGCTAAACGTTGTTATTTACTTGTTAGAGTCTCATTATTATGGTTTAACTTTTAACTTTTGTCAAAAGTTGAAACAAAAGATAAATGTTTACATACTAACTAAAAGTTCTACTCACTCATGGTGGGAGTTGTGAGGACCAGCTGTTCTGGATGGACAGTCCATGGCTCTGACACCTAAGGGGTAAACATTTTTGACAGGTTTTTCAAAACCAAATCATTTTTACCTAACCTGTAAAAAAATTAAAAATCCTTTCTTAGAAACATGGGACCTGGTTACCTTCAAAGAAGGTTCTGTCACATTAAGCGGTGGACCCTGAGGACCTTTGACTGGCAGCACATCCAACGACACGCTGCCATTTGCCAAAGCACTGAGGATTAGAAAAAAAAAAGTTCATAGTGTTCAACATGGGCTGAAAATACAGAAACAATAAAAAAATAAAATAAACAGGTTGTAAAATACTACTGCACTGTGAGTAATACTGTGGACAGTACCCATCACTGTCTGGACCGTATCTACCAGAGGACAGCAAAAGTTCAGCTTCATTTCTCTCCTCACAGTCGGTGCTCTTTGTTGTTCCCATCAATGACACCGCTACTTTACTCATGTTGCCATAGAAGATGTGAGCCTCGTTGGACCGCTGAGGAAGGTCACAGGCTGAAGGAGCAGAAAAAAAATAAAACATTACACCAAAGCCTGAATAATCAGATGTATACATGAAAACACTGACATAAAATCAATTTATATTTAATCACTTGAATAAATGCATAATATTCTATATTTTATGCTTAATAACCAACAATATCTTTTTTGCCAGACATAATAAATGCATCTCACCTTCTGTAACACTTTCTTCTCCCAGAAACTTCTCGTTAAATTCAATGTTTTTCAGCAGACTGTTTTCAGACAGGGCCTTCTGTGCAGCCTGGGGTTTGCTCTGAAGTAATCTAAAAAAGAAAACACACAAACCCACTGTCAGGAGGTGCAGAGAGGCAGCATTCTCACCAAAACACAGACATCTGAAGTCAGATCTATGAACGTCAACAAAACATTCAATGATTCAGAAAAAAAAAGTCTATTTGAAGCCCAGTGCACAATGATCAATAGGCAGAGAATAAAATGCAAATATTTCTTTGTGAATAAGAGCTCCAGAGAAAATAACTCTGCAGGTTTATGGATTTTATTGAAGAAAGTGAAAGAAAGTTGAAGAAAAAAAAGAAACTTGGAAAATCTGCTTGTCAGATAAATGTCAGCTCATTCACTTTCTCTGCATTGATCAAATGGCAGCCTTTAGAGGAATCAGGAATCATCTCTTCAATGGTTTTTACAAAGACAATCGTTGTCGCTTTTTCCTAACTGCATCTTCCTTCTTTAAAAAGTACAAAAATACATAGAAATATCTTGCATAGTTCTAAAACCTTTAGCTTTTATATTTCCTGGAGTTGTTAGATGGGTAAGAAACTATGTCAGAGTTCAGGTCATTTTGCATTCACAAATATAGAAAATACATTTTATAAATCGTCTCACCTTCTGAATTGCTGCCTGGAGAGTTCATCTCCACAGAAAAGATAAACTGTAGCCAGCAGAGGACTGGAGGATTGGCACAGGTTCACTTCCCTTTGCATAGACTTCATGAGCACTGTTATGACCTGAAAAAGTATAGAAGAATGAAATAACCACTTCCCCCCAACACCCTCTACTATATCTCTGTATATGCTCATGTTTTTCTGTGTTTTCATGTACAGATGTGTTGTGTACAGTTAACTTCCTTCTCTCCTACCTCTTGAGTCCTTTCCTTCAGCACAAATTGTGACGGTGCAAGGCTGATGACAGAGGGCTGCAAAACCGATCTAGTCTGCATATCAGTAAAGGCCACAGCTTTGATAAAGGCTGCTCTAGAACCTGTGTTCCTTACACACAGACACACTTTGCTGACACGACCAACAGCGATGTCAGTCAGTGTTGCCACGTAGCTGTCAGCCTGTTTCCTCTGATCCTCCAGGATGATGTTGCTGGTCCCACCGTAGCCTGACAGTGGAATCTAAAGTTGTCAGAAACAGGAAGCAGGAAGAGTCAAAAGTTGTCAGAAACAGGAGGCAGGAATGGAGAAACAGACATTAGAAGGAGACAGAAGCAAAGTAGAGCAGGAAAACATGGTAATCTGCACTGAAACCATAAAGAAAGATAAAGAGCAGAAAAGATCATCACAGTGACATCCTCACAGTGAATTTGACTCCTGGCTGTGAAGGTCGGACTCCAGACTGTTTGATCTCCAGCTTGGCCAGCATGGAAGCCACCCTGGTGGGAGCAAAGAGCAGATGGACTGCTACATCCTCTCTGGGACGGATAGACAGCTCCCCATGACGGGTCAGACGCTCCTCTGGACTAAACATGCTCTGTAGCTGTGTGAAAAATCCAGTTTTCAACAACACAATTACAAATCAAGGAAACCTATATCCAGCACAGAAATTAAGTATATATATTAAAAAAACTGTATTACAGCTCAATTGCTACATTTTGTGGCTCATGTTGCTATACATTCATTTTCTGCTGAGCTGTACTTTATTTATTATATGCTACTAGCAAAAAGCCTCTGGCCATGCTACTATACAGTATGATGGAGAAAGTAACAAATAGACTTTTACCTACAGAGATGTGAAGAAATTTAATGATGTTCTCCTTGAGAAATACTACACTATACCTGAAAACAGTCCTGGTCTTGACCACGTATCAGTAGCCGTAGCTGCTGTGTAGAATTGTTGGAGTTGTTCCTTAAGACCAGCTTCTGTTGGCTGATAAAACAAAAACATCTATTGGCCATGTGATAAAAAGCCATACATGATTTCTGTATGAAAAAGCAAATTACAAAATGTTCTATTCTAGATAAAATGGCAAATTTATACATGTATGCAGTTAAGTAATGCAGTTACAGACTGTAATGCCCAGGGATTAGGGTTTTGAATGGTCTGTATTTTACCTTTCTTCAATGACTATAAACACATTGAGCATTATGTTGAAATAACTTCAGAGAAATAATATTCCCTGTGGAAACTTTCGATCCCTCCTCATGAATAACATTATATAAACCATAACACAATAAGACAGACTGCTGGGCCTCCAGTTTTTTAAATGATTCAATTCCAATGAATAACTGATATGTGGAGAGTGTTTTTGTGAAAACGTAATAAAATAAATGGATGAGAAAGAGAAAAGTTGCTTACACAGCTCGTCCCAGGGTGACCCCTCCCCAGGCTATGAACTGTTTATTTGACAAAATCGGTGGGATGTCTTTGGAAAGACCGGGGCCAGCAACAGCAGAAGGAATGGCTGATTTCCCATAGTCCTCTGGGACAACAGTACCTTTCAGGGTTACTTCATACTGAGGGCCTGATGGTAACACCAAGATGGTGAGAAGGCTGCAAACAACATGAAGGGATTAGTCAGAAACAGACAGCAAATAATAAGCAAATAATTGTAATATTAATGAATACACCACCAGTATGATTTAGTGTAGTTAATTCTAATACAGGTATAAAACCCAAATACTGTCATAGCTTTAAAAATCACAATACAGTGCTTGACAGTTAATGGATTTAGCCAGGTTACTTGTATGACTTTAATAACACCTATACTATTGTCACTTTGACAAGACCTTTTGTTTCCCGAACATTTGTGTTCTATTCAGGAAAAAGGACCATCCATGAAAGACTTCAGACTGATTACATACCAGTCTCTGCATTTCTTGTTGGCCTGTGCTTTGAAGGTTACAGAGATTTCCTGCTCCTCTCCTACTCTGAGCAACAGCTCCTCAGGTGTCACAGAAAAAGAGCCTTCATCATCACTGCTCTGCAAAAAAGTGGAATGAAAGAAAAAAGATTTAGGGAAAACGAAATTGAGAAGCTGTTAAAATGGTACAAAACACGTGAGGTGTGGCTTTCATTTTTAGAAGGCAATAAAGAGCAAACTGAATTAGATGACATAAAGCAGCAGAAGAGGCCAGATGGGAATGAAAAACAGAGGAAGACAGGTTGAAAAAGAAAGATCAGCAAGAATCAAAGCAGGCGGCGATAAAAGGAGCCCAGCTGTCACTCAGACAAAGTTGGCAAAACTTTTTTCCCCCTCATATTGTTACACATCATATGAGACAAAGTCTTTGGATGTGACAGATTGTCTTCTTAATGTCAGAACACACTTGTTTCACCAATGGTTACCGACCATGTTAAAGCTTTCTTTACAGGATAAATTGAGCAAAAATATGTACCTTTAAAAATGAATGACCCCTTTAAGATTCACACCATAGACTATGTGTATATTCTTTACTTAGTGTACCAAAAAAGTCTATTTTTTACACCCACACTGAGTGATTATATTAAGTATAGTTAATTTGCATCAAAACAGTAAATATATTTTTTGCATGTGGCCAAAAACAAGAAGTTTTAAAAAAGGAGCAAAAACAAAAAGAAGAAAAAACATGAGCCAAACGTCAATAAATCCACTTTGTAGATGTGATATTTTAAGCCCCAATATTGTAACACTCAAAGGTGAAATTTACCTTGATTTTAAGCTCCACATCAATGTTCCCAGCATTCTTTAATGGCAGTGTCTGTTTGCTGGATTTACCCAGTGGGGCAGAGAGGCTTAAGGTCTACACAAGAAAGAAAAAAAAAAACAGTTCATTATCAATTCTTGAGAGGACAAGTGAGCAAGTACTCATGACAGAATGTCATACTGTTTTTAGGTGTAGATATAACAACTTGTTTATGTCTTCACTACAATATCACTGGAACCAAACCATGTGTTGTTGTCTCTCAGGCTGTGTATGAACAGAGATGCATCATGAGCCTAGTGAAAGCTTCACTACCTGCAGGTCTTTCGGAGCATGTACCCTAGCAGTTCCACACCTGGCGCTTAGGGGGACACTGAAGATGACATGATTGGGACCTGGAGAGTCCAGTTCAACATCTACCCGAGCAATGAACTCATCAGCTGGACCAAGTTCTCCTAAAGCAAAACAATTGGTTGGTTAAAAAAAAAAAATCTGGAATGTTTGAAGCTACTGAAGTGTACAGTCATTACCTGCAGAGGCATATTTTTCAGGGGCTTTGAAATGCACCCAGACCAGAAAAGTTGCTGGATCCTGTCCCCCCGCCCAAATAAAAAGCACATTATCACATGAACAAAATCATTAATGAGTACTCACTATTCACAATATAAAATATGAAACTAACAGTAATAAATACTCTTAGTGAATGATGTTGTAATGTTTTGGCAACTAACCTCTCCATAGCTGGCAGGCATCACATGATTCATCACTGAGGGAGTGGAGGCTGGGGTCATATGTCCTGTCTGCTGTGACGCTTCATGTGTCATGGTGGCAGGCTGTTTGGAAAAGCTGAAACATCTCCATGATGTGGCCTTCTGGGGGAATGAGATTAGAACCATGAAAAACTGACACCATTTTATTCTTGCTGTGTGGCAGAAGATACTAAGCTGCTGACAAATTACTACAACATAATTATAAATTTAGCATGTCATTAGAAATCTATGTTACAACCCTTCAAATGATGATCTTTTTTGTCATTATAGCATGTGCAGCATTGTTGCCATAGTGATTGCTGGGTACGACAAACAGTGTGTACTCACTGCACTGATGACTAGGCGGACAGGGACAGTGGCATGTGTCTTGTTGACCAGTTTGAGGGGAAGAGATTTGGAACTGCCTCCAGGAAGGTCTCCAAAATCAAGAAACCCAGACTTGTTTGTTTCAACCTCAGAGTCACAATATGGAGAAACCATCACACATATTTACTAAACAACCAATGTAGAACATTTATCAGGTGTATTACTTAAATTAAAGTTCATATGTCAAGTTAATGCTGTCTGGGAAGTTTACTATGAACAGTAACAGTCAAGTATCTTAAAGTGTTCAATCTAAAGTGCTGTTTTTTTGAGCATGACTCTCACCTCTATCAAGGGATTCTGTGCTATGGCAACCAGCACAACCCTTTTAGCAAAGATATTAGCCCTGGCAGCAAACGCTGTCTCAGCAGATACAGGCCACGAGCAGACGCTCAAGACACACTGGTAAACACCAGGCTGCGGAGGTATGAACAACACCTTCTGTTCCTCGGTACTCTTTGGTCCAATGATCGTCTTGTTCTTTACCACCAGGCACTGATAAGGCAGGCTGTCCACCTGTACGTGATGATATCGAAGACAGCGATTCACGTCCACTCCATGAGGTGCAGAAGCAATTTTAGTCTTATTTTCACCCAGGTGCATCACAGAGCACCACAGGAAATCATTCCTGCCAGTGGCCATTACTCATCACTCAGTCTTAAATTTACTAGTCAATTTGTTTACCAGGCACCGTTTTTGGTCATTTTTTGTTAAAAAAAAATCTGATTTTATCTGTGACCTTTGGTCAACTTTTTTTTTTCTTTGTAATATTCTTATTACTTTACTACTATTTAGGTTATTTTGTTGTATTATTTAAATTTAATTTGTGCAATATTTTTGAAGAACATTTTTGCATCTATCTGAAATCTTTTTTATTAAGCATAAAACATGTTTATAAACAAAACATTTACACTTGGCACTGTATATATTTGCAATTATGATTATTTCTAATCTCTGATATTTTTTTTTAATTCATGGAATTCTTGTATTTAAGTACTTTCCTCTGATGTTTAATAAATGCTCCTGCAGGAAGCGTTGTAACTGCAATAATTGATCCGTGGGAATCAATCACGCACTTCTGATTTGGATTCTGGTATCTGGTGATGTTGTGATTAACACAAGTACAACTTTTTCCTTCTTACCTTCTCTCCATCAATAGACAGGCTGGTGACAGTGACTGACACTTGCTGCCATCTCTCAGAAGGGTTGAAGATGTTGAGAGAGGTCTGAGCGGCGATGCCTACACAGCAGGCATGAGGGAATTGCAGCTCAGCCGGAACCACCACTTGTCCTGAGGATAACAAAGAACTGAGTGACACAGGAAAATGTTGCTGCAAAGGCAGTCAAAGTTTAATTTCTTTTCTGCTGCACAAACAACACGTATTTAACAACCTCCTAAAGTTCGTATTTGCAGAAGTTTTCAAAAAAAATAAACCATAAAACTGCAAATGTACTTTGCAATTGGTTGCTAGAAGTGTATGGTGGTATATTTAGTTCAACAGTTTGGTTATTAACAAGTCAAACTTTCTTTGCAGTCAAGGGAGGTGACTATATACTTGACCTGAACGTAAAAGCAACACAAGGTGATTTCTTGTTATACAAAAGTTTCAGATCATGAATTTGCACAATATTTCAACGTCCTTCCATGAACAGCAGCTCTAAAGTTACCTCTAAGTTCTTCCACACCACCTAGACCACCGAGTGCCTCAGTGTCATAGTGACTGTAGGGTTTCCCGATTCCTGCAAGGTCTAGCTGGTTCTGATGGGATCTGGGAAGGTGATGAGAGCCAACAGCTGCTGGAACTCCCAGAGGTCCTGAAAAACATGGAAAACAAAATAAGACAATTTCAATGTAAGAGTTCTACTGTTTGGATTTTTTTAATTATTATTATTACTTTAGTGAGTTTAGTTTAGTAAGAACAACATACCTGTCGAGGAAATATTATAGAGGCCAGTTCCCATGACCCTTCCTGTATAAGTACCAGGATGTAACGGAGCTTCCGATGATCCCAGATACTGCTGAGCCAGCTGGGAGTTGTAAAGTGGGTTGGCATTGTGCAATTGTGCATTTGGAATGTCAACAAGAGCAGAACACTGTGTCTTAAAGCTAGGGATGGGGACATAATGAAATCCTTCTGAAAATGATGGCGGAACACCAAGACCACCAGCATACACTGAAGTTGACACTGATCCAACAGTTCCCCACTGCTGGGAGCCATCAGGGACTGCCATGCTTCTGGTTTGTTGAATGTTCAGATTGCTACAATAACCTGAATCCACTTTAGTGAGCTGCCTTACATTGGATTCAGAGAAATGTTTGTGTGTCTTGTAGCCAGCTGCAAGATCACTTGTTCTGTCACCTGGACAGTGGTAGTTACATTCACTCTGACTGCGAGAACAGCTCAAAGCAGAACCAGTACGTGACTGCTCTGGGCTTCTACGCTGCTGGGCTGGTAGAGTGTCCAAACTTTTGGAGTGTTGAGGTTCTGCCTGCTCCAAGCTCTTAGGCAGAGGGGGAGCACTGAGGTTAGACTGATCATCTGGGTCTACAGGTGGAGTTGGACTGAATCTGATGATGGTTGTGCTAAGTGCCATTGTAGAGTTGTTCTACAGGAAACAAAATCAGAATAAATCTGAAGATAAATATAATGTTATATTTTAATTACATTTAGAGAACCTCACTATACTGTAAACTTGTACCTTTCTTCTCTCAGGTGTAGGAATGGCAGTGCCATCATTCATGGAGATGTACGTCAGTCTGCTGAGACTCGGGCTGGAACACGTAGACTGAGGAGAAGTGTCAACGCTTGCACGTTTATCTGCCAGACCTCCACTGGATGAAGGAGGTGACAACATTCTGGGAAAATGAATTAGTATAAAAAAGATAAATATTAATATTACAATTTCTAACAGCACGAAATACAATCTATGAAAATAACTTGTAGTTAAATACCCATTTGCATTGGGAAGCGAGGTCTGACTTGGGGAGGAGTGGGTAAGTGGAGAGGTGGAGGGTCTGAAGTTGCACTGCGTTTCGTCCACAAAGGGTTCCGCAAAACACTTTGGGAGATCTGGTAGAAAAAAAATGTCAACATGATGTGTAAATTGGGAATTGACTAATGCCATAATTTAAACCTAAACTACATGTATATGTTACCATCTAAATACCAGTCTATTTTTTTAATCAAAAAATGCATGAATTCTACTTAAAGTGGAGGTACATTTTGGTTGTCACTCACCTGAAGAAATGCCAGGCAGAGGTTTTGTGCTCTGACCAAAGGCGTTAACTTGTTTCTCTGTAGTATTATATGGTTTGGCAGCTGTCGTATTTGAGAGTTGTGGTTTTCGATCAGGTGTCATACTGTGTTGATCCTGTTGGTGATCTGGACTCTTCAGTTTCTGAGATGTTGTGGAGAAACCTTTGGAACAAGGTACACTAGACTCTACTTTGGACCCTGTGGGGGGTTTGGGACCCACAGGAGTGACAGCTGGTACTTTTTCACTCTTTTGCAAAGTTTCTGAAGAAGACCTATTGGACTTGTGAGAATTAGACTGAGCCTCTTTTAGTCCGTTTTCTGTGTTAGTGGAACTGGAGGACTTGGAGACAGACATAGTACTGTGGTCACAGGCAACAGATTTGACTGAAGATGTCTTTAAAATGGAGGACTGTCCTGAACCCACAGACCTCCTTGAAGAACTGGTAGATGTACGGGTAGGAGGAATGGGACTTCTTTTCAAATCCCGCTTTTTTTCTGTTGACGATTCATTTACCAGAGACAATCCAGAGGATGTATTTCTTATATCAGTGTCTGCTGAATGACAAAGGTTTGTGTTTTGATCCCCACAATAAGCCAATTTAGGAATCCTACTGAGGTTGTTGTCCCATTTTGACAGGTCAAGGGTCATGTGTGCTAAAGAGGAATCACTGGTGGTGGACATGTCAGTCTTTTTAAGGTATTTCTCCATATCAAAAGCACTTAGATCACCAATGCTGGTACTTCCTTCAAACATGGTGCTGTGTTCTGTGTCCTCAGAAAGGATCTGTGTAAACACAAAACATTTTATACCATATTATACCAAGTGAAAAGACATAATTTCTGTCTTTGTATAAGAGATACACGTGTGAGTGTGCATGAAATTGTATTAAATGTATTATTAAATAAAAAAGTTTTAATGAAAAGCCTGACCTGTTCATTAGAAGGTGGGTCCACTGTCCTGCTGTCAGCAGCTTCAACAGGCTGCTTCCTTGCCTTGCTCCTCTTGGACAGCTCCATGATCATGGCAGCCAACTGTGATGGGTCGGTGCTGATGGAGGCATCAGCAATAGCTGAAGCAATGGTGCTGATACTCAGCATCAGATTACTGCTGTTGATGTCGGGGCTAACAGTGGTTTGGTTGTTCAAGCTCTGATCAGAGCCAGATCCCACACCATGATCAGGTAGTGCAAAACTGAGAGTACGGTTCTGAAGAGGTTAAAAAAAAAATCAGAATAATATCACTGAAACATTATATTACCAACATGCAAATAGAGACAAATACCTCTTTGCAACTGGACTGAGGGGTAACATCACCTTTAGGTGATATTCTGTCATGCAGCGCCTCAAGAGTTTTATCCAAGTCTTCTGTTTTTAAAATATGACAAAAAATCACCAATTTTAATTACAAAATATGTAGGAGGCCATAAAATTAATGGACAAATATTTCTTAGTGTGAACAAACCTGGGTTGAGTGTTTTGTCTGCTTCACTGAGCTCCATGGTGTCACTGTGAGAAGGGGTCACAACAGCCGTGAGTTCTGTGGGGTGAATCAGAGCAAACGGTTCCCTCTTCTCTGGTGAAGTGATAATGTAACCAAAAGAAGGCTAGAAACAAAAATATGAACATTTAATACACTCTGTCCACCGAAGAATAAGGACAACAACATATGATTCTGATGTGAAAGCACATCAGAATAGGCAGAATTGAAATCAGATTAAGCAGAACTTATTCTGCTTTTCTTTACATTGTTAATATACACTCAGTTCCACTGCAGTTTTGTTCATTGTAAATTTGTTAAATTAAATGGTCTTTCTAGGTACAGCTTCACAAATAGTCATTACTGACCCGTTTGATTCCTTCAACATCACGGCTGAGGCCTAAACAGCCCAGGGCTTCAGACCGTTGTCCAAAAAACTCCCCAAAAGACAGCCGTAGGTAGCTATGGTCCCCCTGTTTAAACTCAGAGGACACCTGAGATGCCCTCATGAGGATGTGACTGCTGCTGGGCACCTTCCATGAGGAGTCACTGTCCACAGTGGTGTTGGGGTTGGCTGCTTCAATCTTCTCTTCCTAAATGAAAGTCAAGTCATAATTCAAACACAAAGGTTAGTGATGTGTTTGTGAGTTAATGTACTCACAAGAACACACTTTACATTTTAATTATTCATAATTACAATTAATATATTGAATACAAAAGCCTTTAGACCTGGATGAATTGGTGCTCTTTCTCAAACTGCTCTTGATCCTTTGCAATCTTTTCTAAAGCATCACCTTCAAGAACAATAGAAAAAACTTAACTAAAACATTCTAGAAAACCCATACTGCTTTCGAATGCTGAGAACTGAGAACATACATGGATTAACAAAATCCTCATTTTGAAAACGACCATTGTTTTCTGAAGCCTTTCCATCTACTTCCTTCTCAAAGGAGGAGTAATACGCCAGGTCTGTGACCCACTGACCCTCTTCATTCTGGTAAACCACATTGTGAGAAGCATTGGCACCTGAAGATAAACATGTTGTGGTTATTAAAAAAAAAATTAAAGCACAAGATGTACAAACTAAGAAGGGCTGATAATTGTTCAGCGTTGACTAAAGAAAATTGAAATTAAATTAAAAAATTAAAAAGCTATATTACAAAAGTCTTTACCTTGTTGAAAGTCAAGTTCCATGCTGTCTGGGCAGTGGTTCCAGTCATCTGGATCTTCCTGTTCCTGGTGAAAGCTCTGAGAAAAATACTTTGGTTCCAGAGAGGTGGAAAGGGGATCAGCCTCATTTTCACTGTTACTGCCAGAGGCTTCTGCAGCAGTCACATCGCCGCAGGGTCCTCCCCTAATACCTAAAGAAGACCTGGCACCATCAGGTACATCAACTCCATCATCGTCATTCTTGTCTCCACATTCTGAGTGCAGAACCTGAAGGGAAGAAAATAAAGAGCCATGTTGAAAGAGCTTCATGGTACTAACAGCTAATATTTTTCAGATTAGGCACTACCAATACAATAGTACAAGTTGACAGGCTACAAATTGCACATACATTAATATTTTGGATACAGAGAGATGATCTGTTGTACCTGGGAGAGATGGAAGCTTCCCTGAGTGCCCTGAAGGTGTGAGTAAGTCAGGTCTTGGGGCCTTTTGAGTCTAGCTCCACTCCTTAGATAAACTGAATCTAGCAGTCGGTCAACAGTGGGACCAATTTCTGTGCTTTCCATGGCATCCTAGAATTAATCACATTATAAAAACTGGATAACCATCTGTTACTGTCACTTTAATTAAGAAAAAAAAGACAACACAGTTTGTGTACTTTTAAAAGCTGGTCTAGATTTAACAAGTGCCTCTCTAATGTAAATAACTTCAAGTAAAGAACATGAAAATGTTAAATTACATATCTTAAAAAGATAATAAGATGACCATATTCTAAAATTAATTATTCTCACCAGGGCCTCTTGACGGTCTAGAACCATGCTCCAATTCACAGGAGACAGCCTTTGCATACCCGTTGTTGCCCCTTGAGAACAGCTGGCCTCTCCTGTTCCGACAGGACCAACTCGGTCCCCCATCTGTGTAAAAACAAAATTCCTCAGCTTTAAAATTGAGAACAGTAAACTGGGGCAATGTGCAAAGAAATGACTAAAAACTTAATAAGATTTTAAACAAAATAGTTTATACTAAGATTTTCTGTAATTTTCTGTTATAAGTATCCAATGTCACTAAATGAGTTGAGAAATCACATGTGACAAATAGTTGGCTATAAGATAATATTCAATTAAAACACTGACTATAACAACCCTCACCATTTCTGTTGCTAATGTCCTTGAAATATGGCATGAACTGAAATATATAAATACAGAATTCAGCCTGTCCTCACCTCACAAGGTCGAGAAAGGCCATTTCTCCCTGGTCCTACCAGGCTATTCAGATCATCATCGTCACCAGCAGCACTGCTTCCTACAATACCAAGCCCACGCAGAACATCATAGGTGGTGGGGATGCTGGATGTTGGAAGAGGGACAGTTGAAGATGTCCTAAAACTCCCACTTTCGTCACTCCCACTGCTGCCATCTCCACCTCCTCCGTCACCTTGAATCACAACATAACACAGTCAACAAATATACAAAAAAATAATTTAAAGTACAATTTAAATTAAAATCATAGACCCACCTGTAACAGGTGGGTTGATAACTTGTCCTTCAGCAGATCTTCTGTGTTCAATCCCAGAGACGGATGGACCACTGCGGCCACTATAAGACTCGTCATCAGAACTACCTCCTTCTAAACCTGGCCTAAAGCTGGGACGATTGCTCTCTCCAACCTATAACAATGACATATGCACAGAAGGTATTTGTGAAATATCGCTGCTTACAAAAATACTGCAAAAAAGTATTTATGGCCATTTTAAGGTGACAGGAAATTAACAACATCTTCTTCTGACCAGTTGTCTGGATGTGCTTGGTAGCAATCGTGTTCTGGCAGCAGTGTTTCTTCTGGCAGACTCCAGCTCATCCTCAGTGTCCTCATCACTGGCAGGACAAGAGTCCATGCCTGTAGCAGCCAGACGCACATGAGGCATCCTGAAGTCCTCCTTAACATATAACAAATATATGTGGTAAAAATCTAGAAGCTCGGCTTAATGGATAGAACAACAAAAGAAAGAAACTCTTTTGTTAAAAGAAATACTTTTGTTTTTACCTGGTCATTATTATCAAGGTACTGATTCCTGTACTGTTCTGGTTCTGATTTTACGTTTGACAGGTCGTCAGTCGCAGCTGCAGGGAGTCCCTGCCAATGCAAAGAAATGAGGGTGAAACAGTTGCATTGCCTTCCGCTCGAGTGAGTATCTATCTATCTATCTGATAGATAGATATCTATCAGATAGATAGATAGATAGATAGATAGATAGATAGATATCTATCAGATAGATAGATAGGACAGATAGTTCTTAGTCTTAGTCTCTAAGAATTAGAAACAGGCTTACAATTGATGGGATCTCCTGGCCCTCCACTCTGCCTCTCTGCATGGCAGGGGGCATCAGCTTGTTGAAGTACAGCTCCAGTTCGTCATCAGGCATATTGTTCAAGTCCGCATTGTCATCATCTAAGAATCAGTCACCAGGCATTTACATTGATAGTCATGTCAAAACATTAATAATTCATATTCCCTGGTGAATATTATCAGATAAAAATTCTACAGTGGAGAACAGTGCGAGTCGTACCTGTCAACTCACTGTTCATGCTGTCCAGAGACATGAGCCTCTCATTGGCCAGGAAGCTTGAATTACTGCTGCTATAATGATCACTGTCAATTCCTTCACTCTGCACATTGTCCTCTCCAACTGCAGCAGGTAAGACCTGACAGTACATTAGGGAGAAAGATAAATAATAATTAAAAAAAACATTGGCAGATATTTAAAATTTGATGATGATTAAATAATTAAAAGGTGGCTGTCAATTAAATGTTGATATAGATTACTCATGTATTTGTAATTACAAACTGTATTTATTCTTGTTGTCTCTAATTCTGTAAAGGTTTGGGCTATTTTTTAAACTTCGGTTGTGTTGTTCATAAAGCCAGTCTGAAAATATAAAAGCAGGCACTGACATAAAAGAGAAACTTTAACCACTGATTTTTCACTGTAACTTAAATTACTTTGAGGCTACACTCAATAAAATGAATGTTGGGGAAAAACAACAACATATCATTGCGAAACAGGAAAATTATTTGATGTCTGTGTGTTTTTAAAATGAGAAGGCATTTGTATTTATATCAACAGTAGCATATACAGGATCAACCAACTGCTTAAAGCATCAATTTCATACAAACAGATAAAACATTCACTTTTTTTTACAACCTTAGCACCCTTAGAGTCTACTGAGAAGGAACAGGCTGCCGTTTGTTACTGTTAAATAAGTAATACCCCTGTAAGTAGTTCTTAAAATATCTTTTCACCCTTAAGCACACACATTGTATTTTCAATTTCCCTAGTATTTCAAAATAAAACTAGGATATACTTGCCTGTAGAAATCTGCATTGAGCTGAGAAAGCATGTGACTTTTTAACAACATATATATATATATATTTTTAATCTTATCACACTGTACTGTAGGTTTCACAAGACATTTTGTTCACTCAGTCATACAGAGTTCAAATTCACATATTCATGGTGGTTGGAACTGCATTTCAGTATTACAGTAAACAGGTCCTGATGAGTGCAAACCAAATTCCAACCTTTGAATCTGATCTGTCCTTTTGTCCAAGGTGAGGAAGTGTCATCAGGTCTGTGGATAAATCTGTAAGAAAAAGAAAAATGGTTAGAATAAAAAAAAAGTAGAATCATCAAAAACATCATCTTAATTAAATGAACTCTGAATTAAAAATATTCCATTTAAATCTAGGAAATCATCTTCATTTTAAGGTCGGGTGAGAATAGTCCAATCGTGATCATGATGGGATGGAAAGTTCATATAGAAAGTATACTATCAGCAGAGAACAACAACCAAAAGAAGCTCTTACCTGTTGTGTGTTCTGCAGGCCAGCCATAGAGTGAGTGTTTGCCAGACAGCCTCGTTTTAGTAGCTTGATTTTGAGATGCACTGTCATTCATATTAATTTTCACCAACATGTCTGAAAGACGATGGGCTGCAATGTATTCATCAGCTTTGTCCCTATGACAAACGAGACATATGATAAAACCACATAGATAATGGCCTACATAAACATATGTAGCATAGGAAATCCTTGTCCGGCTAAAATTATTTTCTTTAATTTCCCTTTGGGATCAATAAAATATCTATCTATCTATCAAAAGTTTGAAGTTGTAGATGTTATCTTCTAGTGTTTGAAAAGCTTAAAAGACATGATTTGCATCTGAATAATCATATGCAAAATTAACAACAAAACATTTTGTACATAAAAAGTGTTTTATATTAATAGTATCTTTACACAGTACCAGTTATATTTCTGATCAATCTTAACTTCAAACATTAATGACATCAATATAAAACCAAAGCTATGTTCCACTGCCATGACATTATCTTTACTATCTAGAGCCATGATTAGAATATTAAAAGGATTCTTTTAGAGAAACAGTTAGTTAAAGGCTCTGTATTGTATTTAAGTAAAACTTCAGATGTAAGTACACTGCTGATTAAAAAAAATATAAACTTTACAGTGCATACAAATAACCTGCTCTTTGCTGTTCTGGTTTCTGCTATTTAGAATGTCCATTAGAATATGTTGCACTACATTACTGCATATACTGCCTTAACGCCAGTTAATCTGAACTACAGCGCTAATCAGTGCTACAGCGGTCTAAGGCCCACCCCCCATGTGAAGCCAGTTCAGAACAACATTACAAACCATCGTGTTTTTGTGATTTAAACCAGAAGCATTAGCAATTAAGAATTGTATTAATAAATGTATTATTTTACCATGAATTTTAGCATGAATGTGTAGTAAAATAATATTTGTTGTCAATAAATGTATGCATTACTGCTATAATATCACTTATGTAACCAGCCCTAGAGTAAAAGTATTAAAATAAATTATTTACTCCATAGTGATTTTCTGCACAGCAAACAAACAAACAAACAAAAGAAAAAACAGACAACAATTCACATCAAATTTCCTTCTACACTTACAAGTCATCTTTAAAGCTGAGGGTAAATTTAGGATGTTCTCCCACTGATGACTGTGAGCTGGCCTGTTTCAAGTCTTTATCATCCAGATATGAGTCACCAGGATCCTCTCTGTAAAGCAGTAGCACATAGAATATGTTTTTAATTGTGCTTAAGAAGACAACAACAAAGCCACATCATGGATCTATTACACAACATTTTGTGAAACAAACAGACATCTATTTAAGAAAATGGGATACTGTATTTGCATGATTCAGGTCCAAAAGCTTGTGTGACACAGACATGGATTCAAAGCAACAGCAAAACACCCACCTGTTTTCAGACCTGGGTCGGACTTTGGCTACAGTAGAGGCTGCCACAGGAAGTCCTGGGCCTGAGCCCAGTGTCACATTCCCCAGTGTGGCACGTCCACTAAAGCTGTCCACGGTGTCACATAGGAAACTGGGGAGGACTTCATCTTCCAACTTGTAAAAACTGTCTGCCATATTTCCAAACTGAGCTGTTTGACAGCCAAATGTGGCCCAACACGAGTTACATGTTACATCTAGAAAGATAAAAGTGTGACAACAAGGAAAGATTCACTCTAAAGAACAGAAAAAGAACTATTTATTCGTGCAGAGCCCTCCACGCTACTGTGTAATTCAATTGCTTAACAAAGTTAAACTAAAGAGGCTGCAAATTGATTCTCATTCATTCAATCTAAGTGTAAAAGTCTCTAACCATATGGCAACAGAGTTCCCCAACCCCTACCACTGAAACCCTGTTAGAAAATGGTGTGACACCATCCAGTGTTTGTTAAAGGAACACAGAACCAACTGCACTCACAGTAACTGTAAAGGTAAAGCAACTCTGGTTCAGTAAGCAGGGTGATAAAAGATTTGTGATGGGGAAAAACACTTTGCATAAATGTGAGGTAAAAGTGTGTAAATGAATGGATTGGAAGTTCCCATTCATAGAAAAGACAGTAAACAAACGCAGCACAGGGCCCTCTGTCGCTGCACTGGACCACGAGGAGGACATTGTGTTGTGTGTAATTTAGCAGTGGTTTGTGGTAACGTTACAGGCTGTGAAGCTCCTTTATCTCACTGTTCACATGTAAAGGGACATAGAAGTCATTCCAGATATATTACGAAAACTTACTATGACCTCACCGAAAATGTAATCCAACTAAAGATCATCGATACGAAAGGTATATCTGTAGGAGTTAGATACCGAGACGCTGCATAACAAGCAAACAGTTTCTGGTCTGTATGCATACCCTGCTCCTTGTGTGATTTTCTTTTAAAATGAAAGACATTTAGTACACCCATTTCATATATGCAGTTTAAATAATGTAAAATTAATATTTTCTACGACATAAACAACACACCGTTATGTTAGCTAACTTTTAATGCTAGCTTATAAAAATGCTAAAAACAAATGAGTTTCTAACAGTCGCCAGTGCTTCCCTGCACTGTCTACATAAGTTCGTTGTAAAGACTGACATAAAAGTGACACATAGCATTGACAAAGTAATTAGTTTGGACTAATCTGGAAAGTACGCTCAAGCAAATTACTTATACACTATTTAATCTGAAACATAACAATTCTGTCACCGTAAATGTTAGCATTAGTTAGACTTCAACTCACGTCAGTCCTTCAGAGGCGGGCCAAAGCACTGCATCTGTTCTTTCTTTCTAGTTCCAAACTTCAGGTTTTTTTTTCACAAACTGGAAATCAACAGGTATCGACAGTCAGTTAAGACACCGCGAGAACTTTTCAGAGAGCTCCGTTCTTGCAGTAATGTTCAAAGGCTGAAATTAGAATCAAACCGTGCAACAGTTCACAGAACCAAGCGGCGCCCGGAAACTACAGGAAGCCCGCGAGAGCGTCACGTCCACAGGGCTACGCTTAACCCGATTTACTGCGCTGTGATTGGACAAGATAACCAGAGGGGGCGAAACTATAGATTTTGATTAGAGAGTGAAAATGTCAATCTCCACAGTTCTATTATTTGACACTTGGGACACTGGACAAACAGCCTTTGATGAATCAATCAGTTGTCCATTTAGCATTCAATGGGATGGCGTGGCCTACTAGTGGACTTTCGACATATTGCATGAGTTACAAAATATATTCTAAATCTTAAATTGTTCCAAAATGAGAAAAAAAAAAGATATTTTAAAAGTGAAATATGATAGCAAAATATATAATACATATTATGTATTTGAGAAGATTTGTTCAACTACCCCCCACCAAAAATAACAAAAACAAAAACAAAAACAAACAAGGATGTAACGATAACATGAGTTCCTAGTCCAAATGTGCAGTTGATTGTATCATGTGTTTTTCCAGACAGCTGCAGTAAAGCCATGGTGAGCAGACAGCTGCCTGCTAAAAAAACTGTCGACACATGCATTCCATGTTTTGGCAGACTGTGAGGCATGAAAGCAATGAGGCGAAAGCAGAAGTGTGACTTTTTGTCAAAGTCAGTTGATGATTGGTTTTCTCATTTAGGTATTATGACAATACCCGATTGCTTTGTCATCTGAAGTGACTTAGCGACCAACAAATAAATATTTTTGTATATTTCATCTACTTTAGGCACAATATACAACTTGATATTGAGAAAAATTAAGACTCACTCATACTGTAATTCACAAAATTTTATATATCCAAACCAGGAAAACAAAACACATGAAAATGACCTTTATCACATATAATCAAAACATTGGATAATGTTACCTTTATACCTAATTCATATGTATGCTGGTTAAGTTGTAAACAATCCACCATCACTGCCCCTCAGACTCAGACAAGGGCAGCAGTGCTCTCGAGGAGCGTCTATGAGAAAGAGCCTGTTGTTGAGGTTGAATGACTTCAGCATCACACTGTTCTAGAAGAGAGGAAGGAGGCAGCAGCTGACCACACCTAGTCCCTGCTCTGGGAGGATCCAGAGGTGGAAAGAAATACCTGATGCAAAAAAATGGAAAGGGAAGGAGACAAACCACAAATACATAGACCAAGACATTGACGATGGAAAACAGAGGGAGAACAGGCAGAAGGAAGCAAAGATGACAAATTAAATGAGAAATGTATTTGTGCTTATTTATTTGTTTATTTCAAAGTTCTTATTCAAACAGGAAACACTTGGGCACAACATGCTGTTATCACAACCATGTGGCTGCTGAGAACAACCGTGCATCCCCTATTTTCAGATCAAGGACAAACACGTCTTAAAATTAACACCATGAGGGGAATACACAAGCTGATGCAGGTCAGACATTAGTAATGTGCAGGATGCTGGTATATCTTTGAAGAGCCCAGCTGCCGCACAGGGGGGGCAAAGGAGGCTCTCTTGCCAATCCTGCATGCAACAAATGGTACAACACGACATTACTTCAACAGTTCAGACCAGTGTCTCACACATTTATCAACCGGAGGAGGACACGCCTAAAAAACCTTTAAGAGATGTATATAAAAAAAGAATTCCAGACAATATTTACCATTACACAGATTTAAAGCTGCTGTCAGTCAGGCTGACATGCTATGGATCTACACACCCAGTCAGGCCCACACCTGTTTGTTTACTATCCCATCTAAACATCAAAAACATAGATATAAACAAATATACTGATAATATAAAATAATAATTAAGAAATCATTTTATATTGTTATAAAAAAGGTGAAATAACCCAGCGAGGGACAGTTAGTACGAGTGTCGAGTAAAAAAATGGAGTTCAGCTGAGCACTCCTAACTCGATGTTTCCTCTTATCACGAGGAAAATCTCGCAAAAGTTGCTTACTTGTACCTTGGAAAACTCATTTTCCAGGTAGCTCATATCTTTAATCCCCAATGTAATGTCACATATACTTATCTGATCTCTTTGAGCTTGTTATTCTTTATTTTATCCCAAACAGTATAAGAATAGAAAAGTGCCTGTAAGGGAAACTCACTGACAGCAGCTTTAAATTAAATTTGCTAAAAGTAAATAAATGTGTTGGGTTAAGTCAAACGTTGTTACATATGACACATAAATACAGCCACACAGCTGATGATAGCAAATCTAGGTCGGAAAATTTGATTATAGTAACTTTTGCATTTGTAATTATAATGAGACTAATATTTCTTCTAGTTGTATTTTTAATCCACAAATATGTCAGAAAGGTCTATTCTTGAGTACAGACAAAAGTAATATCAGTATCAGTGGCTGTATTTCTGCACACACTCTTTGTCCACACTGTTTTGAAATGTTATTACAGGTTAATAAGGTCGATTTAAGTGGTTCCTCTGCTTAGCAAAGAGTTTGGCAACATCAGAAGTTACAATCAAAACTGTGGAAAACTTAAAATAAAAAACTAACAGAGAGATGGTTGTTTAAGTATCAAATTTCTATATTTACAAAATGCTATTTCTCGATAATACAACAATTAAAACTAACATTTTAAATAAGTTGCATATCAAATGTCGAGAAAACAGTATTTTTTTATTATTATCACTTCAATATTTGTTTCCATACATATCCAGAGGAAATCACTTGTAGAACACACCAGGCTCCACAGGCTGGATGCAAACACCTTAGTGTGCTGGAAACCAAGCTCTTTGCATGAGCGCAGTATAGGGTGAGTGTGGGCCAAGAACTTGGTCAGTGAGCAGCGGCTGTCCCAGTCAGTGTGAGGAATGTTAGGTTGTCAGTTCTGACTGGTTCGATTTGGGCTGGGGAGTGGCGGGACACGCACCACACCACCTACCTTCCGGCAGACATCCCATTCAGGGAGTTCTGCGGCATCTGAACAGAGGAGCCAACTACTGTGCTCATAGCCATGGGCGGACCTGAAGAGCTGGTGAGTGGGCTGCCGTCTCCCTTCAGGATGCCTGTGCACTTCCAGTTGTCCATGTAGTTAGCTGCAGAGACACAGGAAGTGAAAATCACTCCACTAATTATTATTATTAATATTACTTTGCACCTAAAAAACACTTTTAGGATAAAAAGCACACTTTCCAAAGCTAGTGATGCCTTCTCTGTACTGGAAATGCCTTGTCACACTCAATTACTCCAGAGGCCAATAGGATTAACATTTACTGGAAAGGGACAGGGTAGTCTAGTACTGACAATACAATAATCAGAAATATTGGACAGTTTATCTTGATTGCATTTTCCCCATTAAAATTAACTAAAGCCAATTCATTCATTCCAGCCCCCTAGAAATATACTATTCATTTATTAAAATCCCCACATCTAATCATCAAAAACATAGATATAAACAAATATATTGATAATATAAAATAATAATAATTAAGAAAACATTTTATATTATTATTATAAAAATGAGTAAAATAACCCAGTGAGGGACAGTGAGCGAGACAACGCGACAGAGTGTCGGGACCACTAAGCATAGTAGAAGGACTGGGAGTGAGGAGAGAGAGAGATTCAGATTCACACCAACAACAAAGACATCATGATTACCTTTCCAAAGACGGACACAGCCATCATCCCCAGAGGAGGCCAGCAGGGTGCTGGTGATGTTCCAGCTCACACGCCACACCTGTGAGTTGTGGTTGTCGAACTGTGCCATAATTTGGACTTCAAACTTTGTGGGTCCAGTTGAGGTGCTGTCTCGTCTGTGAGGTGGATCCAACACACAGAAAGAAAGGATATTGATTATGTTCAATTCTTGTTTTCTTACCTTTTATTTTACACTTTTAGGACAAAGACTGAACAACAAACCTCATGGGAACCAGCTTGAAAATTCTAACGTCTTTCGTTGCAATGGCCAGTACATGGACAGATCTTCCCAGGTTGGGAGCAAAAGCAATGTCATGAACTGCATCTGTGACGGTCATCAGTGTCTCTGCCTTGGCATATTTCCTGTGTGGCACAATTGTTAGTTAGTAAAAAGTTAGAGACATATAGATAAATACATACACTGCTGGGACATTTATGAGGGGTTTAAACATCACTTGCCTCGTGTTTTCGTTGTATTCATATATTTGAACTTTTCCTCCGTAAGATACGTTACTGTCATCACTTCCAACAGCAAACATTGGTGGGTGGGCTCGAGAGCTGGATGGTCAGAGAAAAATAAAAGACACTTTTTTTTACCCATAAATATTAACATTTTCAAGCTGTGGCCCTTAGAGATAATAAGAAATTGCACAGAAAACAACCACATGATAAAGTGTGGAGAAAAATAAACCTGTGAACCCTGCACCTGGTGCAGTGACCTTGTTTTTGTAGGAATAGGTGGATTTAAACAGGCACTAATTGGTCTTCTGAAGCAGTTAAGGCCACTGGACTGTCTTTGGGTGGGAATGACCTGGATGGCCGAGAACCTACGTAGACTATGACCTTGCATCTACAACAGAATTAAAAAGAAGTATGTCCTGAGAGCAACATCCCAAAGCCTCATAGATAAAGTGGTTTATTTAATGGTGCTTAAAACAAAAGTCATTAAGTATAAGTATAAATCAAATGTGCATGAAAAGCTGATCAAGCTGTGTTGTTTGATTAAAGTCCACTATCATTCACCACTTAGACAATGCGTAAGTGTTCATTTCTAACCATATAAATTGTTAAATATATAAACTGTTTGTGTCAAGTTTCTTCTTATAGTTACAGAGATATTATTTGGTCCAAATGTCAGATGAAGTCCCTGCACTTTTCTGATATGCATGAAAAAAGTTACTCATCATCTTACTTACTTTCCTCAGTACAGTAAAATGTACCTACTACATCTTATACATAATGCAAAGTAAGCAGTGCATAAAAGCACTCTAGACACTATGCTGACGCAGCATATTTATATGCATATATATATATATAGTATATTATATAGTTATAGTATAACCTGGACGGATTCCAAGAGATGCAGCTGCAGCTGAGTTTGCAGGAGATCTCGTGCTGCAGGGACCACTGGCTCAGGTTCATCACATCAGGAGCTTCATAAATCCTCACCACTCCATCCGCAGAGCAGGTGGTCAACATCAGACCCATGTGTTTAGGGGCAAACTTTACATCCGTCACTGATGTTCTACTGTCCACCAGGGTGGTTCTCTTTATCTAAAAACAAAGCAATGTCAAACGCTTGGGGAAGAAAAATCAATGCAGACAATTAGAAATACTTCATGTAGTATTTGTGTATAAAGACTTTCTGTATTTGAGTGTTTTACTTGAACCAACCCAGTGACTCAGTCCTCTCTGTTTGTCGTTGGACTCTCCAACAATCTCTTCCCAGACAGCAGCTGTTCGGTCAAAAGAGCATGAAGCTAGAACCTGCCCAAATTCTGGATGAGCCCAAGTAACTCTCCACACTGATCCACTGTGTGTCTATAAAAAATGAGAAGAGACTTTGTTACAATCCTACAGAATCTATTTAAAATCATCTCATGTGATTAGTCTGAGCGTCTAATAAGTGTGATAAGAGAATAAAAAAAGATTGTTCATGTTTTTTTCCAAAGAAATAAATGTTGCTCTCTGAAAAGATGCAGATTCATAATTATGTCATTTGAACCCAATAGCTATTATATAAGTATGGTAGACTAGGAAAAATAGTTTAGACATCATCTGGACCATCCTCTTACTGCAATCCGCAGTAGTAAATTTGTTACAATACGTAAACAAATTATGAAATTTCAATAATAATACTACTATGACCCACAATGGTTAAAGGATTGCAGGTAAACTGTAACAGAGGTGTAACTGACAGAAAGAGAAAAGCTGTTTTATAAAGAATAACAAAAGAATCCAATAGTTAAGATCTGCAGGTAATTTCACCTTCCAGCTTGCTGTGCAGTGCCACTCTCCGTTTTCGTCTTTGTCCCAAACCTAACAGAACAAAAAAAAATCACATTTGAATTATTTTATTAACACCATTCCTTGCAAGAGAGGTAGTAATTTAACATTAAAGTTAGTTGGAATACTGTTTTACATGTGTCTAATGCACTAATACTTATTACTTTATAGAGTACTCTTAGATGTAATACCGTAAAAACAGAGATTTTAAAACTGTTCATGGAATGTTACTTTGTAGTATAAATACAGTAGAGCTGGTTTTAAAATCACTTCAAGAGCCTTGTCTGATTTTCGCCGTCTTCATGGCAGGTGAACTATATTTGCGGCAGGACCGCCAAGTACTTTAATGCCATTAACGTTAGTTGATCAACCGCTATGTTAGTTCCACGCACTGTAGCCCTTGTGTTAAGAGACACGTTACTAAGAAGTTAAGTAAACAGGCCGGGTTTATACATCTCTTTCGCGCTGTAAGGTAATGTGCGTTTTCCGACAATTTGTTTTCATTAATTCAAAGTGAGCTTAAGGCGCGTATTTGTGTAGATGTTGACAAGCTATGAGGTGAAGGCTAAGGCTAACATTAGCATAATGGGTCCACTTATCTTACCTTGACACTTTGGTCACTGGAGCAGGTTGCCATTCGTCGTCCGTGAAAATCATACGACACATCGTGGATCAGATCTTTGTGATCTGCTGCAATACTCCTCGCCACAAACATGGTTAGTGTTCTAACAACGCTAGCTGACCTGTACTACCAGTAGGCCTGTCATGTGTAAGTGTTTGAGTGTGAGTGCTTGGCGGGGTTCGTGTGAGCATTGGGTGTAAGCATCAAATCTGACCACACGAGGACGCACGCACATCGTTTAATTAGTGAGTACGCTTACCTAACTAAGGTACGTAAGGTTTTTAATTAAAAAAATACACTAATAAAACTTAGCAATTGTTGGATAAAATTAAATGTGTAACTACAAACCGGCGTTTATGCTACTATAAATTAATAGGCAAAATCGTCGTTTAGTGTCAGAATGGGTTGCCAGGTTTAGTAAAACAATTACATTTATTGCACTTTATTGCATAATCTCTATTGCTGTTAACATTGCATTTTGTGAAAATATACATTTTACCGTTTAGGTTAATCTGTAGTGGTTTAAATTAAATAATGTTTGTTCAAGCAAAGACAAATTGCAAAAAAGAAAGTCTGTATTTTGACCAAAGTTGTAAAACGTTGAAGTGTGAATAACAATACAGTTACAACATTATAGTTAAGTCTGATTAAATATACAAAAGAGTAGACATGTGTAGCTAATTAATATATAAATTACAGCACGGTTAGTGAGATAGAGAATAATGTATATTTTTTAAAGGTAGTCAAAATAAAAGTGTATAGTTAATATGTCCAAAAAACAATTAATACATTTCCTTTGAATTTATCCAAAGTTCTACCAAAGGACATGTCTCTGAGTTGATTGTCTTCCGGCTGGAGTTTTTGGACGATGTGCGTGTAGAGATAAGCAGCTAGTAACTGGCAACCCGCGGCTCGAGTCACAGTGCATATGCAGTACTGTATGTGGAGGAGCAGACTTCCCGCAGGGATCTCCAGGATTAAGCACACTGCTGTTTTATATGGCTCACACAAGAAAGTGAAGTTGTGTCGCAAATACCCCGTGGCCTGTGCTCGTCCACCAAGTGTCCCGGGGAACAAACTGCGTCAAAAATGGAGCAAGAATTTGAAGACATTGACTCGTCCGGGAGATGGCAGAACCTCTACAATGTAAGTCCGGACACTGGGCCTCCCGTGTTTCTATGGCGATCAGCTGCTAACTTACTTAGCCAGCTTAGTTAGTAGCGCTCCTGTTTTACATTTTATCAGTATTATTTTTCTAGTTAAAATTGTACAGTTAACCCATTGTAATCTTTTGCCTCCTTAACTATAGTACTTGGTATAAATGTTAAATTCGTTGTTAAAGACTTTGGCTGTGGTTAAATGTCAGTCCGCGTTAGTTAATTGCTAACTTCCGTAGCAACCGAGCTAGTCGTTCAAAACGTGCAGCAGCGGCTCGCAATGCTAATGCTAATGCTTGCTGCTGACGCCAGCAGACGTCAGCTGCACCTTCTCAGAATTCAGTAGGACTTCCAGAGAATGTTTTGCCACCAGCTGTTCGAGAAAAGCAGCGTTTTAGGTCACACTTATAGATCTGTCACTGTTTTTACCTGGTCTGACTTCCTGAAATAATACCGGAAGATAAACATTTCCCTGAAGATTTGTTCAATTAAAGCCGAAGGGAGCTACATTATTATGCTATTCGTATGAAATGGTCTATATTTGGTTCAGCGGATATCTACCTACGTCACTTTCTTGTGTCGGGGAAACTTTATCGTTACTTTATATTCAACTAGAGTAGTTTTAAAGCACAGCACAGCAATATGCCTGTAGATGTATGTTGTATTAATGTTTTTGACAAAACAAGTCTCCAGATAATGTTGCTTGACTTCCACTAACAAGTCCCTCATCGTTTATATTAACGAAACTGTTGTTTTTTTAGCAGAGCATGTTGCAGTGTTAGTTTAAAGACAGATTCCACAGTAGAAGCTCAGCAATCAAACCGATGCCAAACCCAGTACACACAATAAACGTGATTTGTAGCACACTAGAGGAGAAGAATAGAGAGCGTTGTGTATAATTTATTCTTTTATAATCTCAGTCAAGAAGGTCATGTGTTGGTGTGGGTTCAAGAGCTGCCTCACTAAATGGGTTAAGGATCTATTTGGATCAGAATTTCGGAGAGTTAAAGTTTAAATTCCAAGAAGAAATATTATATTCTGTTGGTTATTCAAAACTGGATTGCCAAGTTTGTAAAATGACTTTAAAATGCTCCCAGTGCTGTGGTTTTACATTGTTCTTCAGTCAACTAGGTTTGTTTAGATTTGGTCCAAATAATTATAAGAATGCCAAAAAAGCATTTAAGAATTAGTATGCGAATGATGCAGCTTGTTATAACTGTTTATCATTGTTTGTAGTGTTATATGTAAAGGAGTAGCAGCCAACACAACTACTCCCAGTGTTAACAATTTGTTAATCCTTCTCTCCTTCATCAAAGTGAAAAAGTGTTCAAGATAGTAGATGCTCTTCCCCACTCACTCAACCCCTCTATTCAAGTGGGGAGACTGTCTGTGTCGATTACAGATGTTCAGCTAACTGAGCTAAGTTGGACTTTTAAAATCGGGTCATGTTGTCCAAGAGTACAGTTCTAAACAGGTACAGAGGCAAAATAGTATAGTTGAGAAAGCACAAGAAGTATGAGACAGTCTAAAGTTGAAGAATAACTTTAGAAATAAGCATGTTATGTTGAACCAGAATATAAACTGTGAGACAAGCTTAAAAGCAAAGATGAAAAAAAAATAATAATAAATTGCTGTCCTACAGATATAGAGGAGATGCCTTTACATTGTTAGGGAGTTCTCATCACACTTTTTTTTTTAAACAGGAGATCAGGAACCAAGCCAGTGAATATCCTTATAGAGTGGCAAAACTACCAGCAAATCGGAATTTGAACCGCTACAGAGATGTCAGCCCATGTGAGTCTATTGATAAAGAATTGTATTTTAATGAATATTTGGAATTGCTGCTAACAATGTGCCTTTCATAACTTCTATAATCTACCCACTTGTTTCAGACGACCATAGTCGAGTAAAACTTGAAAACTCAGAAAATGACTACATCAATGCAAGTTTAGTAATGGTGGAAGAAGCCCAAAGAGCTTACATTCTTTCTCAGGTTAAATTTGTTTGATTACATTTGTTAAATTAAAAAAAAAAAAGAATTCCCTGGTCTGATCTAATGGTTTATTTTTCTCAATGTAATTTATTTTGCTTCTGTAGGGGCCTTTGAGAAACACATGTGGTCACTTCTGGCTGATGGTTTGGCAGCAGTGTTGCAAAGCTGTCATAATGCTGAACAGAGTGATTGAAAAAGGATCAGTAAGTAAAATTGTCTTCTACAGCTTCTAATTATGCATTTGTAACATGCCATTCTTCCCTGTTTTCTACAGTACTTATATCTCATTCAGACCTCAGGCCCTAATATTAGGGAGTGGTTTTTGACACCCAAAAAAACAATATAAACACATTAGCAGGTTTTTAAAAGTTTGTACTTTGAAAAGATAATATATCTTGGCATGATGACTGATGACTGACTGATGAAAAATATGGGGCAGCCAGTAAGACGAGCTTGTTACTTGATAGCACCATTTGCCGTTCAACACAAAGTCTGCACTACCCTTGAATCAATGCATCCAGTGCTGGCAGTGGTTCAGCCATCATGCTCTCCTTGTGACTTATTTCCCAGACTGAGTGAATTGATTTTTGCCTTAACAGGAAAAGTGTGCCCAGTACTGGCCAACATCTGAGGAGCTGCAGATGTCCTTTACTGACACAGGGTTTGTCATCAGGCTACTTTCAGAGGAAGATCATTTCTATTACACAATCAGACTACTTGAACTGCTGAACATAAAGGTGAGCGGGACGCAAATGTGATGCAGATCTCTGTTGTTAGTTTGCAGTCATGGCATTGCAGTCATTGTTTTCTGTCACAGACTGGAGAGTCGAGGGAGATCTACCACTTCCACTACACCACATGGCCCGACTTTGGAGTCCCAGAATCTCCTGCCTCCTTTCTTAATTTTCTCCTCAAGGTCAGAGAATCTGGCTCGTTAGGCCCAGAGCATGGACCCTCAGTGGTACATTGCAGTGCTGGGATTGGACGCTCAGGGACGTTTGCCTTGGTGGACACCTGCCTGGTCTTGGTGAGAACAGAGGGGAATACTATTTAATTTCATATTAGTTTTATTTTATACATTGTATTTTACTAACCAGATTCATCCACTCAACACTGTAACTGTTAAGCAGTGGAGAAAAAATCTTGTTTTTTTTTTTTTTGTTAAGCAGATTGAAAAATGCAAGAACCCGTCTTCAGTAGACATACAGAAGGTGCTGCTGGACATGAGGGAATATCGTATGGGCCTGATCCAGACCCCTGACCAGCTACGCTTCTCCTACATGGCTGTGATTGAGGGAGCAAAGCTGATTCCGACTGACAACATAGAGCCACAGGTAACTAAGTCTCACTGTTGTCAAGTCAGACTCATCACACATTATTATGAGGTTATTTTTTCACATTCTGTTGCATACAGTGCTTGAACTGATATGGGTAATGCTTTTTATTGCATAATATCATCCAACAGTTCAGTTGTTTTTAGTCATGCCTTACAGACACTCCCAGTTACATGCATAGTTTAGTTAGGCTCATTTTGTGTAGTTGTCATTTTAGCCATATTCAATATGATAAATGTTTCTACTTCTCCTCAGCTTGTCAATGGAGGCATTGTTTAAATAGTTGGTTGAAATAGTGTTGGATAAAAGTGGCTTAAACTTACTTTGTCTTTTTTTTTTTGTCACGTCACATTGCAGCAAAACCAGTACGTGCAGCTCAGTTCCACCCCCACCCTCGAATCAGAGCTCCCTCCTCCACCTCCTCCACCCAGACCTCACCTTAATGAAAGCAGGCCAAATGGCCAGCTCACCTGTGTGGAGACACAGGCTGACTCAGGAGACCATCTGCCTGCAACAGAGGTGGACAGCCATGACCACAGTGTGGTAGAGCGTTCTGGCAGGTGACTAAAACCATGCCACATTGTGAATTCCAAAGTAAAACTCTTACAGTTCAAGTGGACACTAAATGACATTTTGGAAATGCACATTTTGTGGCTTGTGACTACTGGAGGCTTTTTCCTCTATCACTCACTTTGATAAAATTACAACATACTAAGTCTCTTTTAGAAAATGTAACAATGTAAATCTTTTGTAGTATTCTTTTTATATATTTTTTTCTTTTTAACTTTTATGCAGCCTCAGGAAGAGACATCGCGAAGAGAGGATTGCCAGCACTGCACAGAAGGTCCAGCAGATGAAACAGAGACTGACCGACTCGGAGAAGAAACAGGAGAAGTGGCAGTACTGGAGGCCCATCCTCCTTAACGTCGGCGCTGGTGCAGCTGTTGCCGCCGGCCTGCTCCTCTGCTGGATGTACGCCCAGTGATACACGATGGCTCACTTCAAACTGACTCTTATTCTGCACCAGTACCTAGGGTTAGGTACATCTCTTTGCAGGTTTAGTCAACAAAATGTGCATAACTGAGGGTATTTATTTCTTTGAGGTAAAAATGCAGGAGCGCTGGATCAAATGAGTATGTATATATTTTTCATGTAACACCTTAACAAAATGGTAACATCTCAGGATCTTGGTGCCAGCACGATGATTTGATATTTCTTTTTCTTCTTGTCACTGTTGATGAATGTACTGTATCATAGCAAATTGCTTTAAAAGAGTTTTACCCAAGATGCAGTAAAAAAAAAGACAAAAAATATTCTGACAGGTTTATTTTTGCATTCTTTGAGATGGTCAGATGTGTCTCGAGTCTTGATTATCTGAGACATGTTTTACATTTGCATTTCAAATTTGACGTTTGTCCACCCTCCATCATACCAGAAATTCGTAGGGCGATTCCACACCTTAAAAGATCAGCTACAGGAGTATTTTTTTCTCTCCTGAAGTGAAATTCACATTTCATGCATGCATTCACAGG